CCATCCATCCATCCATCCATCTTTCCATCCATTCGATGCTTGTCATTTAGTACTAGCTTTGTATAGCTGCTAACGGGTTAAATGCAATTGCTTTCGTTCTTCCTTAGCAGAGTGGTATGGTTAAAGAACACTTTGTTGCACTAAATTTTCAGGCACTGTGGTAGCAGACTCCTTTCCTTTTGTGAAGGCATCTGGACTCATTTACATGACCTATAAACCCCACAAATCATAATTTAGCATAAGGAAAACTTTTCCTATAAAATGTTACATATTTTCATTTTGTCAGCACAAGCAAATAGACTCAACTTACATGATCAGGATAGATTTGAATTTTGAATTGCTGTGAGGATCACTGATTTGGTTAGACAAACTGGCCAGAAAGCTCCGAGGATTACCAGTCTTTGCCCAAACAATGTTGGCATTGCAGAAACCTGCCACCCTCCCCTCTCACGTGGGTCCTGGTGATCTGAACCAGGTCCTCAGGCTTGGGTGGCAAGTTCTTTACTTTTGCTTTAGTCAGCTCTCCAGACCAAGTTAACTGCTTTAGTGGCATTGTTGTCCGAAGTCACATTTGTGTGCATCTAATCCAGTTATCAATTGTGTCTGGGACTTGTTTTCTCATATATTGGGGGGTAATGTCATGTAAAGTTGTTGGGATCCAGCATGCTACACTCAAGATCTTGCATGTCTATCATTGCTGCTGACTTGAGTGTAAATCAAATGAGATTCAAATTGCCTCCTGGGAGCATCCACATGCCTTGTTCTGTTTTTCCTCCAAAATATTGCTGCTGCTGGGTATTAAAGCAAAGTAATCACTTAAATTAGTAGTATTTTCATGAAATATAAATCTATTACAAGTTGGATTAAAGGAAGTTGTAGGTGACAGCTGCTAGCTAAAGCAATATGATCATGGGTGACTGGATGAGAGTGTAATGTACCCTGTTGCATTATCTCTAATCCCATGCCTGTGAGCATAGGGATAGGGAGATGCTTTCCATTGTCCCAAGTTCAAGTAGTTCTATTTCCTGCTAAGTATTGTACAGTGCTGTTTGTCCCTCTTGCTTGGCCACCTTTCTTTTCTGCAATCCCTCCTATACACAGGTGCCAAGGATGTGGTACTGAAGTAAAACCCACAACTGGACATTGTCTTTCCAAATTGCTATTCTGGCCACACTGCAAGAGACAGGATTCTCTTGAGAGAAGGAAGAGGAAGTGCCCTCCAATTGAATCTTGTCTCATCTGGCCTAGAAGCCTTAGTTCTTGGTTGTAGTATGTATTTGAAATGCCACAATAATTGCTTTGGATAAATGGCTCCAAACATAATTATAGCATAAGGCCAGGACACCTACAATATGCTCATTTAACATCTTCATCTTGAAGAGCCAAGAAGTGAGGAAGTATTCATAATAATGACAAAAACAAATCAAGATAACAATGGTCACTGTGGCAAAGGACATAGAAGCCAAAAGAAACCTCACAGTATTCAAATCAGCAATATTTGAAGCAATTAAATGACCTCATACTGCAAAATAAGATCACGCATAAATAAAATCCATGAGTATACATGTAAATAAGTGAAAATGAGGAGAAAGATACCAAGCTCATGCAGAAGAATTCCAGATACTTTTATGAATCATCATAATCTCAGGACACAGAATATAACTCCTTGGTTCCTAAATGTAGACTGTTCACAGCAACTTCTTTCCAGGGAGTATACTACAAAGTAGAAAGGAAGGGAAAATACAATAACAATGAAGATAGTAGTCAGCTACTACCTCAGCCTGGTGACAAGATTCAGCATCTAATAAGGGAAAGATGGATTGATAGTGTATACCTGTGGTAGGATGGGACCAGAGCAGCATTTATCTTTCCAATCTTCTTCCAAAAACACATAATCTCACTCTAATCATACGACAAGCATTAGGTAAAGCCCAACTGAAAGACATTTTGCAAAACGCCTGACCAGTCTACCCCCAAATGCCAAGGTTACTAAAAAGCCATCAATGTTTGGGAAGATGTCACAGCCATGAGGCACCTAGAAAGATAAGAAAAGTGAATACAGTTTCATCTGTCTGGTTGAAACCTGGAGTAGAAAAGGTTAAAATTAAGAATGTCTATGAGAGTTTAGACTTTGGTTAATGTAAATATGTTAGAGAGTGTGATTCCGGAACAAGAGTAAGAGTCAGAAAGTAAGAGAGTCCTCAAAACAAAAGTCAAACAAACTTACAGTGGTCACCACCTGTCAAAGCAATGCATAAGCCAATGGAAGAATTCCCAGTCATCAAAGTCAGAATCTGTTAAGCAAGCAGGTACCATAGGACTGGATCATAATGCCAGGGATCAATAAAGTACAAGTGCACCATATTGAAGATGTCAATAATTAGATAACACAAGCAGGAAATAGCAGAGTGAGATATATTTGAGGCTTCCTAGTACCATTTTCATAAATCTTGTGGAAATCTAAAATTACTCTATAATAATAAATTGACATTTACAATACCTCAGATTATCATCTTATATATGTTATGATGAGTTCTGCTCTTCATAACTGCCCATTAAAACCTTGTCTTTCAACTCACAATCTTAGAAATTTTCTGTAATCTCCCTTTACAAATGGATCTCCCACTCTACCTGTTTACAGACCCTGAGATATACTCTACTGCTAGTAAAGTCAGCTAATTTATTTATTTAATCAGTCATTAAAAAAAGACTTCTAGACTTCCTCTGTGTTGATAGGACTGAGAACAAATAAACAATAACCTTGATCTTGTCTTAGTTTATAGCTTGAGTGGGAGGAACCACAAACATTGACTTCTGGGTAATTAGAAATTCATGGAGTACTAAAAGAGTGAATAGTTGTGGAGATCATGAGACATTCTCTAAAGAATTGATCTGGCATTGAGTAACAAAGAAAATTCTTGAGGATTCTCTCTCACACACACAAACACACATACACACAGAAGCATGTATATGTATACATATACATACGTGTGTGTCCCCTGCCCTATATCCCTCCTCTTTTTTTATAGTTTCTGTGTACATGATGGAGGGAGGTGGTGTTGGATGCATAGGCACTAAGACAGTACTTCAGGACTATGCCTCTGTGCTTGAGTGATGGGGCTGGATAGGAGCTAAGAGGCAATAGAAGGGACCATATACACTGAGACAGGAAAGAGGAGAGTTGGACTTGAGATGTAACTCTGCATGGCTAGCATACACAAAGCCCTGATTTTGGTCCTCATCACAGCCAAACCCAAACAAGAAACAAAAGGAGAGGAATGCCAGGCAGAAATCCCCTCTGCAACTGTTGTTGCAGGTATTGTTGTGGGACTCTGGGCTATGCATCAAGCTCACTGATCACCTCTTTAGGTGGGCATGTTCTCTAGTTTACATCTGCACATCTGCTGTAGGAGTTGGGATTATAATTCTCACTTTACAGATGAAGAAATTAAGATCCTCCAATACTAATTGGAAAGAGTGAAGTTCTAATGAAAATCAGTGGGTTAAGCTTTGGGCTCTCCTCTTCTCTTCTCTTCTCTTACAGGAGACAGAACTACCTGTCTAATATGGGTCACTTTGGTGTGTTTCTTTAACAGCAGATGAAGGCTTTGTAGCAGTTGTTATTAATATTTGGGGACAAATTCCTCTCCTGCTGCAGCAGTTTGTCAGATAGCATTGTAGGATGTTTCATGGCATCCATTTCTTCAACTAGGATGCAAGTGGCATCTTGCTCCCCTTAGAGATTACACGCAACAAAATTTCTCTAAACTTTCCAATGACTGGTGTACAGAACCACATCATGCCCTGTTCCTACTGTACCTAAAACACTGTGTTGTAGCTGAGTTCTCAGAGAACTATCTTAATTATCCAGTTTTTTCTGTCCCCTTTTTTCCACTTGCTTGTGTTACCTTCTATGTATCTGGATAGTAGACAGTCACCTTAGAGCTTATAACAGTATCATATAGAGCACTTGTTCAACAAATTCTTGCCATCTCTGCTTACTGAATGCCAAAAACCAAAAATTATAAGGTCAAGAATTCTAAGAGCCCATTTTGATAAAATGAAAATCCATTGTCTCTGAATTCAAAACTTAATGCTGGGATTATTGATTATTGATACCTTTTATAACTCTGGAAAGCTCATTGCTTCCAGATGGAAGAAACTGACCCAAACCAACTGTTGCAATGCAGTCCTTTAATCTCAGCATTTGAGAGGGCTAATAGAGAAAATGACTGGTGTACGGATTGCTTAACAACAACAGCAAAATCCAAAGCCACCAACATCTACCCTGACCCAGGAGCTCATCTGCCCAGGAGCTAGTAGAGAGTGGGATCCATTAGGATACACATATACATTGGTTCATGCCTGCGTGAGCCCTACCTATTTAAATGGCATCCTATGTAGCCATGCCACAAAAAACACATGGCATTTCTTCTAGAAATTCTCTTTCATTTGTTCATGCCACCTGGGTTTGACAATGATTCTGGGCTAGATTTTTTATTCAGTTCAGCCCCCTTAGCATGGGTAGGCAGTGGGAAAGGGACCTGATTCCTGGCCACTTTATGGCCTTGTAGGTTCTGCATCACTGGGTTTTTGTTGCTCCTCATTAGTGGGTGTTCAGAGAACCTTACATGCAGATAGCACAGGTATGAGTGCTCAGCACAGAGCATCTAAATCAGGTGGTCTCTTTACTTGGCATTTAAACTCCAGGCATTTGCTGCTCCACTGCTTTCTATTACATCCAACCCAGAATCATCACATCTCGAGATGCCCATTTACTTATTTGCTGGCGTTCTTCGCTGTTTTGAGTGTAGAACTTCAATGCCTGGGTTCTCTGAGGCTTCAATGGACCATGGAAGAGAGCTCTTTAGTAATTGTATGTCACAGGGCCCCTCTATAATTCCTGTCATATTCTCCAAATCTGTCTGTGTATTTTAATACACCACAGGAGCCCTGGAGTTAGAAATAATCAATGTCCATCTTTTTTATTGTCTTGACAGAAGGAGGGACCTGCGAAGTGATTGCAGCCCACAGGTGTTGTAACAAGAACCGTATAGAGGAGCGGTCGCAAACAGTGAAGTGTTCCTGTCTACCTGGGAAAGTGGCTGGGACAACAAGAAACCGACCTTCCTGCGTGGATGGTAAGTAATGGGTTTTAGCCTTTCTAATGGATATCCACTCATTAATTCACTGCCCACAACATACGATGTGTTTTCTTGTGTAAACTGTGTTTCTGGACCATGGACAAGGCATATCTAAACTGTTGTGAGGCTAAATGTCAGAATTCAGCATATATGTGGAACTTTTTTTCCTCTGGTGTTAGGTTTGAATGTGTACTTCAAAACTCATGTTGAAGGCACACTGCCATTTTGATGATTCAGGAAATGAGGCATCTGGAAGGTGACTGAATCATGAGGGCTGCACCATCGTGAGTGAAGTTAGCGGTATTAAAAAAGGGGAGTGCAGCCCCTCTTGTGCCCCTCCTTTTCTGGTTCCCAATATGTAGTGAGAAATCATGAAAGGCCTCCATTAGAATACGAACAGCCATCAGAAACACTCATGAAGTTCCCACTATGTAGTGAGGAATCATGACAGGCCACCGTCAGAATAATACAAACGTCCATCAGAAACACTCATGCCTTGATCGTGAACATGCAAGTCTCTAGAGCTGTGGGAATTAATTTAGTATGTTTGTACGCTATCTAGTCACAGGTGTTCTGTTATAGAAGCACACACACAAAAGGGGGGTTAAGAAGAGTGAGACATCTGGCTTGAGCGATTTCACATATTTTAATACATTGTATTAAATATTGTAGAAGAAAACTAAGTAAAGGAAATTTTGGAACAAAAAATGTATGGATTCAACTTATTTGGAAAGAATTTTGTTTGGGGTCATGGTAGTGTTAGTAATAGGAAAGTTTACAGTACCTAAAGTTCATTTAAAAGATATTTAGCAATCACAAATTATCTGCCAGGTATCACTCTAGTTGCTTTGGATATATGCGTGAGTGAACACCATTGTCTGAGTATGTGCTAAAATCTGGTACACATTGCTCATTGCTGTTTTAGCTAATCCTACCAAAACGCTTACTATTGTTATATGAGGTTTCTATTTCTGTGTGTTATAAATCACACCCAAATTTAACAGCCAAAAATACCAAACACTGGACTAGGGTTGTGACTCAGTTGGTAGAATGCTTGCCTAGCATGCAGAAGGCTTTGGATTCAAACCCCAGCATGGCATAAGCCTGGTGTAGTTATGCATACCTGTAATCACAATGGCTAGAAGGTAGAAATGGAACCAGAGTCATCCTTGGTTACATGGGAATTTCAAGACCAACCTGGATTACATATAACCCTGTATCAAATAAATAGATTAAGTTAAATTTCCAATGTTATCTTACCATGCCTGTGGATTAAGACTTAAACTTAGCTGGGAGGTTCTGTCTCGAAAGCACTCATGGAGCCGCAATTGAGTTCTATCATGTTGACTGGTGCTAGTGGGAGATTTTAGGATGGCTTGTTCATAGAGTTGTTGGCAAGTGCTATTGTTCTCTGCCATGCGAACCTATCCATTGGAGCTTGGTTTCTTTACAACATGATGGTAGGTTTTCCCCAGAGTGCCTTCAAGAAAGCAGAACATAAGTTCCAATGCCCTTTATGTTAAACCTTAGAGCTCGTGTGTCATTATTTGGTTGCTATCCTATAGGTTACATCAGTCTACCCTCTTTAGTATAAAGCTGGTTGCCAAAACATAAAGACAAACATACAGAAATCATAAGAGGCCATGGCAGAGACTGGCTATAAGTGGAGGTTGTTTCTTTCCCAATGCAAGCATAAAGAAACAGACTAAGGATAGCAGGATAATCCCCTTAATACATGCTTTGACAGTTTTTCTTTTGTGACTCTTAATGCCAGTGTCGCAGACTTTAATCCTAAATCTTGCTGACACCTTAAGATAATCTTATATTGTTGAAATTAGGAGCGGCAGGGCTGCGTCCCCGGCACCCGGCCACCTGCATGGCTAATTTATACCCAGAAATAATTACACGGAAACTGTATTCTTTCAAACACTGCCTGGCCTGGCTAGGTCCAGTTTCTTATTGGCTAGCTCTTACATATTGTTCTAACCCATTTCTAATATTCTGTGTAGCCCATGAGCTGGCTTACCAGAGAGGATCTTAACCTGCATCTGTCTGGAGTGGGAGCATCATGGCGACTCACTGATTCAGCTTCAGCTTCTTTTTTCCAGCATTCTCTTCTGTCTACTCCACCTACCTAATTTTCTGTCCTATGAGGGCTGAGGCAGTTTCTTTATTAGTAAGAAATCACTCCCACATCATTATATACTATAGCCAAGCAGTGCTTCCCTACAGTTAATAAAATTTAAAGGTGTATGTATGATTTGATTTCGTGATTCTTCACCAGGGGAGTTGAGACTCAGAGAAATGACCCATGAGCGCAGGGTCATAGAACAGGACTGAGAAATTCTATCTCTTGGTTTAGGTCCACTCTTCTTTTTCTAGATATGCAGGGTAAGGAGGACACTTCCTAGATAAGATTGCATTTTGTGTTTTTCTTTATGGACTAGCCGGTGGTTGAGAGAGAAGCACACTCAAGTTATGGCAAGGAAGAGATAAGTTATTTTAGAAAGTACAAGAATTCTGCAGGAACCACTGGCAATTGCTGTCTTTGTTCTTCTTTTGATTTCTGATCTTTGCTTACTTCATTCTCCTTTTTAGGGCCTGATTCTCTCTTCAAGTATTTGCATCACACTCTCATATGAATTAGAAATGGTAAAAGGCACCACTCTGATCTCACTTGGCTTGATAGTAAAGCTTCAGTAAAGCATATTTAACCAAGATCCCATGCTTTAAATAAGATTTCTGAGACAACAGTGTGTGTGTGTGACTGGTCCAACATGGGTCAAGTGGTCGACTTTTGCCTGGTCAACAACAGCCAGAGGAACAAGCATACATGTCCATCAATCTGTCCTTCTGTTCCATGGAAAAGTCAATTTAGTCTTGAAGGATGTGACTACCCAAATTTTAGAATATAGTACTACCAGTTCTGTACTGTTGCAGTGTGTCCCAGGAGTCACTTGGTAATATCTATCAAGAAGGGGAGCGCTACTGCTGCTGGCCCTAGCAAGGAATACTGCTAAGCATCCACATTACACTGGACTCCTCCACTGACCAAAGGATTTACAACAGTGTCACTGGTACTGAGGTTGACTGACGTAGATTGTGATTTGGACTCTTCTGTATCACAATGAACACCATGAAGAATTGGTAATGAGGGAAGGAAGGCAGCTAGCCTACTAAAGCCATATTGGCCTATTACAGGAGGAAGTTCTTGCCAAGAAGGCAGGAGGCATTGTACTGCATAAAGCTACAATGGCCAAAGAAAGCATTGAGGTTGTTACCTATAAATCTTCATCCTGCTTCTAGTTTATTTTCATCACTAACCATCTAGAATGGATTTGCCTTCAGATCTTGGATGAAAAACACAAACTACAGTGTATTGGCTGTGCTGAGAGAGTGAGAAATTACATTTGGCTCTAATTTTGTGTTGGATGATGAACCATATGACAGCAATATTTTCATCTCACGACAAGTTTATTTAATTTTGGAACCTATTGTCAGTGTGATTGTTTCAAACAAAAGGACCACCACCTCTGTATTCCAAGAAAAAATAATTTAAAAGTTCTTTAGTATAATGATGAATATTTGTATTTAAATAACACTTCAATTTCAAAACTATGGGCTGTAATATGGAGGGTCCTGTTTGTTGTTGGGGGTTTTGTCTCGCCTGGTACCCCACAACTGTTTAACCCCAAAGAAAATCACACAGAGATCTCTATAAGTTATAAAGCTGATTGGCCCATTAGGTCAGGCTACTTATTAGCTCTTGTATCTTATATTAACCCATTATTCTGATCTATGCTAGCCATGTGGCTCAGTACCTTTTTCATCTGGTAGCTCACATCCTGCTGCTTCGGTGGCCTAGGCAGGAGTGGGAGGAATCAACTTTCTGCTTCCCAGAATTCTCCTGTTCTCATTTCATCGCCTCTACTTTCTGTCTGGTTTCCCCGCCTATACTTCCTGCCTGGCCAATCAGCATTTATTTAAAATATGATTGACAGAATACAGACAATTCTCCTGCACCAATGGGCATGTATGGACAAGTACATGTAGCTATCAATTAATTTGTTTGGAAAGCCTAACACTCAATATGAAAAAAATAAGTACGGAGCCATCATTTTGATGGAGTTGCTAGAATATTGGACTACATTATTCTATCAGAATCACAGCTAAACCTTTTACCAGGAGAACAGCCTCTGGCAAGTTGTGTCCCTCTCACCACAGTGTGCTGTCCTCTCCAAAATGAGAATGCAAAGGATTAATGCCTCCTGGAGCTGAGGTGAGGAATAATAGAACTATGATTGTAATGTGATTTCCACATTGGCACTCCTCAAATGTTCTCTAAATTATAAGTTCTATTTCTTATCATACTAGTAAGTGTGAATAATTGTTAGAAATATCACTGTCATGTTAATTCAGCATGGTGGCATCTTGGCCCCCATGTGTTCTGAGAATATTTTCCAACCAATCATCCTGGATAGCATTGATTGCTTCTCAGGAGTTCAAGTTCATTGTAGGGATTTTTAAAGCCACAGATAAATAATACCCATACATTGAAAACACCCATGATACCATTTCCAGAAATGGTCATGGTTTTGGTGATTGCCTTATAGTCCTAGCCAAACATCAAAATGTAAAAGCTCAATGGAGATATTTACTAGATTTAGATTCTGTGATACTAACTGATAGAGGGTCATTTAACTTAATATATGATAAATATTTCCCATGTTTGTGAATATTCTTCCAGACATAATTGTCAATAGCTACATAGGATTCTCAATGTTTAAATATACCTTCATTTATTCACTCTCTACTTTCCACACTTGCAATATTTTTTGAATTCCCCTTACTCTCTTCCCTAAGAGGCAGAGACAGAAGGTCAGCCTGGGCTGTGGAGCTCCAGGAGACCTCATGCATCAAATATAGTTAAAAGCAACATCTGGTATTACCACACTTGAGCTTCAAAGGCTTTCTTGTATGATGCAAATATCTAGGTA